TATTTTAATAAACAAATGTTGCATATTAATTTAATATATATTATGTTTGGATTAATTATTATTTAATCAGATAGAGTTTATTTTTAATGAGTATTTATGTTTATAATTTTTATCTAAATCTAAGTTTATAATCAATTCAATAATTTATTTAATGGGTATTTGTCCATCTAGAAAACCTGAACTTGATCTTATTGGATTCTTATGTCAATATTAAGATGAAGGATAAAATAAAAATATTAAGCAATTTATGGTAATTACATAGAATCCTTAGTAACTAAGATAATAATATACGATTAACAAAAATTACTTAATAAAAAGAGGGATATTGAGTATTGATTAGTTGGCTAATAATTTAAATGCTTAAAGATAGATAATGTCTGAAGTTGAAGCTGAATAATTTTAATTAGTCTATAATTATAGATAAAAATAAAGTAAACAATCATTTTCTGAACTTCCATATGGAGATAATGGATATACATTTCGATTTGAATATTAAAATAGATTACAATAAGGAAAAAATGTTTTAGTGATTGGAGAACAAAGATCTGGAAAATCAACTTTTATTAATGCAATTGGAAATTCACTTCTTATTGATTATCCAGATAAATATAGATATCATATTTCTGAATATGATTTTAATGGAAATATATAAGAATGTGATTTAGATTATTAAAATATTTAATTTAAATTTTTAGAAGTACAAGGATATGGATAAAATGAATAAGAGAATTATAAGATTTTATTATAGACATATGAACATCTTAAAAATAATAATATTTAAATTCATTGTATATTTATTTGTAGAAGATTTAGAAATTAAGATTTAAATAATTAAGAAAAACAAATTATTTTTCATTTAGCTGAATTATTTGGAAGACAATATATAAGAAAATGTTTTTTAGTTAATACTAGTTATGATTTAGGAAATTAAATTTAAGATTAATTATAAAAAGGATTAAATAAAATTAATAATATTTATGATTAAATGCCAAATCCAAAAATATTATTTATAAATTCAATAACAACACCTTTTGAAGGAAATGTAGGAAATCATAGATTTGAAACTGTTAAAAATGTTAGAGATTCTATGAATTAATTAATTAATAATGATAATTAAACAATTTAAATTATTAGTTAAGATGCATTTGATTAAAGAAGATAAATTGAAAGAACATAAAATTAAATTAAAAATTAAATTTAAATACGTTTAATGGAATTATTACCTTGTTTAGAAAATTATTTTTAAATTGAAGAAGTTGATGAAAATGATCAATTATTATATGCAAATACGGTTTTTTGGAGTATTTTAGAGAATGGACAACGAATTAAAGAAAATAAAGAATTAAAATTTATTTTAGATGAAATTATTTTATCTGAAAATAAAATTTCACAGATTCAACCAGACGTAAGATAATAATCAACATAATAATTAATAAATTCTCAAACTATTGATTTTGATAGATAATCAAGAAGATTATAAGAAAACATTTATTAAGAAAAATATAAATAATTGAGAAATAACTTACGTCAAGAGAAAACTAATAGAATTTAAAATATTATTACTTTAGCTGAAGATTATATTGCAACATAAAATCATTATTTAGAAGAAACTTATTGTCTTCAATAAGAAACTATTTAACTATTAATTGCCAGATATATAAAGCAAAATGATCAATTAAGATTATTTTTATAATAAGATTAACTATTTGAATAAGAACATTTAAGAACTGAATTTGAACAAATAAGAGAAAGACTTTTTTTACCAAATACAAATCTCTTAGCAACAGAAATCCTTGGAATATGAATTATTTATAAATTAAATAAATATATTATCAATTTTTAAAATAAAATAATATTTTATAATATATTTATCTTCATAATTCAAAAAAAAAATGGGTTAATGGAAAATTTAATCTGAAGACAACTTAAAGATGTACTATAACTGTTATTTTTTATAAAAATTGATAAGATTAAAAGGACTTGAATTTTTTAAATATTTATTTTCCAATAATGAAATTTTTAGATAACATAAAGTTCAAGACAGTATATTATTATTATATTCCAATTTTCAAGTCTTTGAATTCTACTCCTTGTTGTTTTTAAAATTTTTTACAAGAATAAGTTTTTAGTGTATTCAGGCTTCTTAAAAATAATAAATAAATCATAAAAAGTTTGTAATTTTTTGGAAATAGGTTTTGGAATAAATTATAGGAGATAAATAAGGATAGGATTTGATAATTAATATTTTATAGATCAACCCATTTTATAAAGTAATATTGCCATTTAGCCCTCATAGAAAAACATATAACGTTTGCTTTCGTAAGATGTGTAAGAATTGAAATGTTTTCCTTTATAATTTAATTGATATGAATACCAACAACACAATGCCAATTTGGACCATATTTTTCATCGAAAAACTTCTTGATATAATTAGAGATTTATGATTCAACTTTAAAATGTTCGACTGCATACCTAGCCTTTTATGATTAAATGTATTAAATACTTGGGTTCTTGCATCATTGATCATGTCTGATTGTTCTGGCATATCAATAATCTATTCTAAATTTTCATCTGTCATTTGAAACTGATATTGATTTATATTAATATATTAATTAAAACTTTAGGATTCATTCAAACATTTCTTCAAATTTCTACTATGCCATTGCTTAAATTTCTAAAATAGGTTTGTTGGCTAATCCATCAAATTATTCATGTATATTAAAATTCTAATTTTTATTAGATAAAAAGTATTACTCCATGTTAATATAATTTATCAAATTTTTTGCAATCAATTAAATGTATTTATAATTAGAAATAATGTCTATTTATATTTGTTTGTTGATCATTTTTATATTCTGGGTTTGTATTTGTTTTAAAAGTTTATTCAATCAGTTTAAGCACAAAGTCATTAAGAACTTCTTTAAAAATTATATTAAATTAATCTGAAATTTCTTTTTAAATTTCTTTATGCCAGTCTTTTTTGTTTTAAAATAGTTTTGGTTAAAGTCTACTAATAAATATTTTAATACTATAATGATTCAGCAAAAAAAGTAACATAATCTTTTGCAAATGTTTAGTCTTCCACAATTTATTAAACAAATTTTTAGAAATGTTGATGTTCATAAATCTTTCTTAATATCTGTTCATCAATTTAGAATATATTATCTTAAGATAATAGAGTTCTAGTTAATCTTTCATTTAAAATATAAATTTTTTTGGCTAACATTAAACAAAGTAAACAACATTAATCTTATCCAAGATTTTCAAATGCTTCATTTAAAGTTCTAGATACAAATACAATTTCATCTCTTAAAGTCATATATTTATTAATATATTCTTCTATAAATTTTTCTTCTTTAATTTATTATTCCACATTTTTTTGGAATTATTCAACTTATTTAATATTATCTTCATATTATCCTGGAGTTGCTTCATCTTCAATTAATTATTAAGAAACAATTCTTTGAATTTAAAGATCTTATTATTATTTAATACTGAATCTAGTAAGAATATCTTGGGGTTTTTCTTCCATTTTATTTTAATCTTTATCCTTATAAAATTTTTCAATTTCTTCAGTATTGATTAATCCAGCTTGAATAGCATTCAATGATAATTAAGCATATCCTAAAATAGGTGATAAATGTACTTAGATCTTTATGTTGCATTAATGGATGGGAATACAATTCACTCCATTTTAATCTTCTATAAGGATCCTTGATTAACATTCTTTCTAGAAGATATTCCAATTCAGAAGAAATAACTAAACCATTTCTTCTAAAATTAGGTTTATCTTAAATAATATAGAATTATACTATTTTTAATGTCCTCCAAAAACTTTTACTGATTTTGATTAGTAAATGGAAATTATCCAAAAATAAGTTAATAAAACATACTGCCTATCGAAAACATATCTGCTGCCATTCCATATGGTTATTATTCAACAACTTCAGGAGCCATATTACCAAGAGATCCTAAACTTAATTTTTCTTATTAATTTGGATCACTTAATTATTTAGAAAATCCTAAATCTGCAATTTTTAATGTAGAATTATGTATTAAAATATTTGCTAATTTTAAATCTCTATGTAAAATATTCTTTTCATGTAAAGCTTACATACCAGCTAATACTTATTTCATATAATTAATTGCTTCATTCTCTGGAATTCTCTTATTTCTACTCTACCATAATTATTCAAAATCACCAGCTAATTTATTAATTCTATTATTACAATTGCAATATTCTAATACAATATAGCATTAATTTACAGATTCTAAATATTATACTATTCTAACAACATGTTAATTGTTAATCTATTTTAATACTTCTACTTCACTATTAATTAATTAACCTACTATTCCTCCATGATCAGATAATTTCGATCTTGCTATACATTTTATAGCAACCACTTCATTTGTTACAATATTTTTTGCTTAAAATACCTATTTAAATCATAATTAATACTTATCCAAAAGCACCTTTCCCTATCTCTTTTATAAATAGATAATCTGATACTCTCTTACCTGGACAATTTATAATCTTACCACTTATAGGGGCATTCATTATTATTTATATTAAAATAATTATCTCAGAAATCTTTACTCATTTTTATTTTTTAATTATAATTTTCAATCTTCATCACCTTCTATATCAACACTATCCTTTAAATTACCATTCATCTTCTCTTCTATTTTTGGAACATTATTATCACAACTATTAAATCTTTGTTTTGTATATAAACAACTAAACAACCCACATCTTCTAAACATCGCTAATCATTTAATATCTTTCAATAATTATTAGATTTACTTAACAAATAACCTCAAATTATATTCTATAATATCTTTTCTAAACATTTAAGATGATATTTCATAACTTATTCCAATATTTTCCACTTTATAATCAAATTTATTTGCTTTCTCGAATAAACTCTCTTAATATTTTGCAGCCATTCTAGATCTTTAATCTGCCTTAAGAAATATTTTACATAAAGTCATTGTTAAAATTATAATTATTCGGATAAATTTATAATATA